CGCCGGCCCGAGGAAGCCGTGGGCCGCGAAGCCGACCCAGAAGGCAACTATCGCTCCTGCCGCGGTGGTCGGAGGATGCGCCAGCATACCCGCTTCAAGCTTGAGCCCAGGCAGTTATGGAAACGGGTGATAACTGCAGGGGTGCAACAGACTAAACACTCATAGCAAGACCGTGCATCGCACAACCAGGGCCCCAGGGGCCCCGAATACATCCATAGATTTCGTTCTGTGCGGCTTGGAACGTGCCCGTCAGTGGAGAAAGGCATGCGCCAGAAAAGGGGCAGGTGTGGGGCAGCACGGAGATGGAGGCGCCACTCCTCTGGAGGAGCCTCGACCCGGCTGGAGTGGAGGGCGGGCCCGTGGCTCGAGCCAGCTTCGCATATCCGCCGCCTCCTCTGGAAGCTGTCATGATTTGTTCAGGCACACGCAACCTTCGACATGTCCCCAGGGCAGCCCACGAACGACTCAAGGGGAGAGGGGGGGACCCAGACATCTGATGCCTTGATTTCTCCCATCATTCCTGGGCCCCCAGAGAGCGCCAGCGTCTCATCCCCGATCGCCCCTTCACGGCCCCAAGGCCCGGCGAGGGCCCCCGGGAGGCAGAGAAGAGCCCAAACCTTCCGTCGCGATGTGTTCACGGCACGAGCATGTCTGGGGAGGAGGAGGGCGCGTTTGCCCTGGTTGGTTGGTGGCCCCCCTCCATCCGCCCCGACGGCGGCTCGCCCTGGGCGCCTCTTGGCAACGGGCCCCGCGGAGGGAGGGCCTGCTGGAGAACGCATGGGGCACATGTTGCAGCACGTGTTGCGGCTAGCCTCGCCTTCCCTCCCCTCCTCCCTCTCTCGGGTTCCTCGGCTTCTGCCTTGCCCCACCTCGGGGCGGACGATCCCTCGGAGAGATAAGTTAAAATAATCGCTTCGTCCGGCCTCATCATGTCCGCAGCACGCTGGCACCTCATTTGTGCCTCGCGCCCTCCGTGGGCCCGCCCTCGTGCGAGCGGGGTGACTTGTCGACTCCCGACGGGCAACGCTAGGGAGGGACCAGCTCAGGGGTGGAGGCATGTCTCTTGAGAGCTTCGTGGGGCCAGTTAAGGCCATTTCGTGGCCTCTGAAGAGCTCCCTCGGCCCTCTTGAAACCCTCTTGGGTGAGGCATCTGAGTGTCGTGGATGTTTAAGAGGCTCCCTGGGCCTCCGAGGAACTTCTTGGGGCCAGTTGAGACCTCCTTCGGGCCTGTTGAAACATGTCCTTGTGGTATCTCTTGCGGGCTTTTCGGGCCTCTTGAGAGCCTCTTGGCTGGGGCCAAGTGTTCCCTTCTTGGGGTCTCTGCATCAGTTTCTGTGGCCTGTCTGTGGAGCTTCTTGGGGCCTCTTGCGAACCCCTTAGAGCCGATCCCTGGGGGCCTCTGAAAGGCCATTGGGGGCCTGGTGCTGGCCTCGGCTGCTGAATCGCCCTTTGAAGCCTCTTGAACTGTTCCCGGGGCCCCTGGATGCCCCAGGGGGGCCCGCGCCGCCTGGGGGGGGCACAGTCTTATTCATCATCGTTGTCGACATGCGCCGTCGTCGTCATTCGTCGTCGTCGTCGCCAGTCGTCTTGCGTCGTCCGTCGTTATTGCCGCCGTCAAACAATGAAGGGGCGCGAGAGAAGGCGGGTGATGGACGAGGAGTGAGGGAAGGAATAGGGAGGAGGGGGAGGGAGGAGGAGGGGCGCGGTAAGGGGCGGAAGCAAAAAGAGGAGAGGAGGAAGGGGGAGCAAGTGGAGCAGGATGTACAACATGGGGAGAGGAGGATGAGGAAGAGTGGGCGGGAGGAGATAGGCAGCGAGAGGAGACATGACAAGGATCGTCGATCGTCGATGGTCGACTGTCGTCATCGTGGTTCGTCGTCGTCGTGGTCAGCCGTGAGTTGTGCTCGTTGTCGTCATCGTCAGTCCCTGCCGCCGCCGTACTCTCTCGTGCGCGGCGCAACCCTGGGAGAGAACAACCCATATATTCTCGTCGTCATTCGTCGTCGTCGTCGTCGTCGTCGTCGTCGTCGTTATTCGTCGTTACTCATCAGGCGTCATGCGTCTACGTCGTTGCTGTCAGAAGGAGGAGTGGCGTTGGAGAAAGGGAGTGATGGATGAGGAGTGAGGGGGAGGATAAGGGAGCAGTGGAAGTCCCCTGCCCAGCCTTTTTTTACTCGACGAAGGGGCCTTGACGAAGGTG